AAGCCCTAGTTCGGCTGCACACACAGGACTCACTCCTGCGCTAGGACAGACTGTATGGAGTGGTGCCAAAATTTCAGGAGGGTTAAAAGCTTTTAGGTTTGATACTTTCTGAATACTGGAACAAAAGGCCTACCTCATGATATTGGCATGATTACATTTCAAACAAAGTTTATATAGGTGTTAATGGCTTACGGTGAGAAAGGAAAGAATTCTTTTAACAGATTTTTGTTAGTTTTGTAGATATCTGCAAAATCTGATCTTTCTGATTTTTTTTAACTCTTGTGTCACTAGTTAATACATGGTAAATTGTTAAAACTGAAAGAAATTTACCATGGAACCTGTTTAATTTGTTTAGTCTTTCAAATGAGTTGGATTATGGACAAGTGTTCTGGGGGCTTCCACTCTTTGAGTTAGTGACACACAAGGTGAAAGTTTCAAACCAAAACTTCTATCTGTTTTACAGATTTGTTTCATTTGCACAGAATGGATCCTAAACATTCCCCAGAGAAAGTGTATAAGCCTGTGTGAATGCCTTTCACTCCCCTTTCTTGTGTCAGTAAATACTGTATTAATATTTTCAAGGAGATCTTGACTATTTCTACTGGACTCACAAATTTGTTTAGCATCTTAAAGCTGTGCATATTTCTTAGCCTTTTACTTAATGGCCATGTCTTTGATTTATTTATATAGCTATTTTCAGTATGCTCAATTTTGGTATGTTTATTAGCTTGATTTGTTAGAAAGGATGACAATACATGTACTCCAAGAGAAGTGTTAGTTTTCCTTTTTTGATTTCATATTAAATAAACATCTTAAGCACTGCTCCTCGTTAATTAGCTCTTTTTATTAATATAACTGTCTTCCATACCTATGGACTTTAAAATATATATTTATACCTAGGTTTTTTGTTTGTACTAGGACACACTGATCATCCACATACAACCTCAATATTGGTGGTGCACATAAGAAATTTCAACCAGTCCAAGGATCAAAAATGTTAGAGGGAACACTCCCTGGGATCTGTATGGCCAGCTCCCTGACAAGAGAGCTGGCCCTGGAGCAGGGAATGGACTACATTTCCCAGAACTCTCTTGGCTACTAGCAACAGGAAAAAGAGAGGAGGAGAGAGTGAGGGACGCTTTTAGCTGACTGCTAGAAGAGGTTGATGCTTATGAATGGGGAACATGTATTCACAGGGATTTGGCCCAGACCTCATCCTCAGAAGCCTTCCCCAGACTTTATATGGGGTGCTAATGACCATTTTTCACTGATCCAAAAAAAAATAATTTTGTGGATAATGCACCTCTATCTCAAGCATAACAAAGAAGGTATGTGGACCCCACCAGAAGGGATTTGACTCTATTCTCACAGCCCTGGAAGCAGAAATGGGCTTTTCCTTTCCACATTTATCTAATACTCAGAAAGGGAATCTAACACCTTCTAGATTGAACAGGAGTACTCTGATTTAATTTGGGCTACTATTACATGATTTTTTTCTAAAATCCAATATTGATCCACTGTAATCTGTTGTAGAAAAAGTAGGATAAAATTGAGCAACAAATGTTGCCAACTTCCCAGTAGTAACTTGGACTAGAGTTGCTATTTTCAACTGCCATTACCAGGTTTGGATTTTTTTGTTTTTTGTTTAAGTTTTCTTTTTTTAAAAAAAGAAGACAGTAATATTGCACTGATTTTTCCCT